TCATTAAGGTGTGAGAACTGTATGGTATCTTTTAGAACTGATATGTGATTATCGTATGTTTCTGCACAATATTTTTTTTTCTATCAATAAGCTATTCTGAATAAGCTGACCCAAACAGTTTTATCAGACAGGGGCAGAAATGTCTTTTAACTATCAATAAGCTAGTCTAAATAAGCTGCCCCACACAACAAGCCAGATTATTCTGATAATCTGTAAATTATCAGATTATCAGAATAATCTGCTTATCAACAGATTATAAATAATCCACAGCTGTGTCAAACAGAATCTAAAGCCCTAATTTGAACCCAATGGAAATTGACCGCCGGGAGGCCCGAGAGATTTTCAATTTTTCACAAAATTTCAATGTGTAGTGATTGTCGACACTCGATAACAAATCGACTTCCAGCGCGGCGATGGGGCTATCGAAATGCCTAACGCCGGTGAGCCCATCTGCCCGAGTGGGATTTGTCGGCTCCCAATCCGCAGAATGGCAGCACTGCATAACGGCGTCAAGCTTAGTCAGCAGCGACGCCACCTTTTTTTTCCGCCACCCTAGAATCCCGCGCCTGAAGATTTCTCTTCTCCAGAATCGACCAAACAGGCATCTCCTTTTCCGAATGAAAGGATCAGGTGTTATCTCTTCTATTCCTACCTCGCTCTCATTGATATTAATGTGTAGTTTATTTGATCTCTCCTGCTTCTATTCGCGGTATCAAAACATGTCTCTTTATTGATTATTCCTGTTTTTTATAATATTTATCGTCCTAATGGTTTGTTAAATGCTAGCTGCGGCAAGGAAGCGACAGAGGCCAACAAACCATAGCTTCTGAAATGTTAGCACCTTTGAATAAGATTTCTCACCGGATTTATGAAATCTAGACAAACGCAAAATTGCTAGTGTTCTGCAGTTTTAAGGGCCGAAATTTTTGCTCTGATTTTGCCTTAATCTAGATTTACTAAATTCACAGGGAGGTGAATTTAACGGATTTATGATTTCTGGGTTTACTAAATTCTACTAATGCTAAATCCCAGCCAAACACCCCCCAAATGGAGATGCCACTATGATGGTTCTCTGCAGTCCTATTAGATGTATTGCTTTTTTTATCGACTTCAAAAGTACTTATTACTAGATTTGCTAGGACCTTGAAGCTTTTGAAGAACTCTTAGTCTTTTTGAACATGAGACGATGCATTCTAAGGGACTTTAAAGCCCCCCTGATATAAATCATGGTTTTAATAATGTTTGATAAAAATCAACTCAAAATTAGGATTTATTGTGCAAGACTTGTGGAGGAGTTGATAGAGAATCTTCTCTCTAACTCGAATACTCATGTTCAGAGTACAATCTAACCATTAATTTTTAACATAGTTGTCATAAGAGCTCAACTTCCAAAATAAAATACTAGGATTTCTTTGTAGTTAATTGTAGTTCATGGGGTTGTCTGGTAGTGGGGTTTTTGCTGGCTTTGCGTTGGATTTATCATAAATCTTGACAAACACCAAATATGATTGCATAAGCATTACGTCTGCCTAAACCCATTTTCATTATGTTTCACCTTAAATTTGGGATTTACCAGTTTCCTTTTTTGCTACAAGAAGGATTTAACTTACACTACTGGAATTTAACTTATTTTCGATCGTTATATACCATTCAAAAATTATTAAAAAAATTGTTGGTTAATAAAGATTTGATGACTTCAATGGTTTATAGGGCGTAACTAATTCTCTTGTTGGTAAACTCGTACCTTACGGGCTTTCCGATGGATTTTATCAGTTGGTGGCTTATTGAGGGGTAGTATTCGTATGTTTATGCTAAAACGAAATCATTGATAAGTCATCGGTTGACCGTCAGATATACAAACAATGGTCTTAATCCGTCGGTTAATATCGAAAACATACCCGTTGGTTATCTCTTGGTTGATTGTCGGTAATGCATCAATGGTCAGAGGTATTCGGTTAATTCCAAAATGAAAATTTTATCGATGGCTCTCGGGTTAGTTCGTAGGTTGAGTGACCAACATAATGTATCATTGTTTTATCGATAGACTGTTGAGACGTCGAGAGATTTTCGGTTAGCCGCCGATTTATGTATTGACAGTCTATAACCGTCAGATCGTATGAGAAAAGAGCGGGAAACCATTAGATAACCGTCAGAAAGCCGTCGAAAAATTGTAGCTTAAAAAATAATCTTTTTCATTTCATTACAATTTAGACACTTGCAATCGTAACACATATATAAATTCAATTATATATTGCACACTATAATTTACCAATCCAAGCATTTATTAGACTAAAATCATTTTAATGAATGCACAAATTAAACACAAATAAATGCAACACATTGAACCAAACCATTATAGTATTTGTACATGAAAATAACATATTCAAAATGTCTCTTAAAATAAATAGATATAAAAACTGTCCTAATCTTTCTCTGTGCCCTCATCGTCCTCCTCAATATCCACCTCTGGCAGATGCTTTCCTCTCATGCTGTTCAAACTTTATCTGATTGAGCCGAGCAACAACTTTGGTCTCAATATTTGTAGTGAATGTGACAATCTGCCTACGGACTTCTTCTGAGTGGTAGAAGTATATGCCCTGAATACACTAGAGCAGTGATGAGTGTCGTTGGTCTGTGCCTGAGAACCCAATCCACAGACCCGCCCATTCTTCTTCTCCAACAGTCTCTCTTCACAGCTCATAGTGAACAGATCATGACCTGGGATCGTAAGTCCTCATGTGTGCTAAATCTGGCTCTCCTTCAACTATTGGAAAGTTTCCTACAAAAAATTTATAAAAGAAAATTAGATGAAAATTAAATTCAACAATTCTTTGAATTGTATAACAGTTAATCTTATGACTAATATGAGTCACTTGAGATTTGCTCTCATTCCAAGTGTGATTCGATTGCCGCTTATGGGTATGTGCATGTAACTCGACAATGATGGACTCTCGTACCAACTTTAAAGTCCGTTAAGCTCAAAAAATAGTTAATTTATATTTAATTTACTGTAATATTTAATGCACAAATTAAGTCTTACTTTGTACTCGGTTTGTTTGAGCACTCCACCAGTTTGCTTGAAGTCCCCCATGGCTCCACAGTCAAAGCATCGATTATATTTGGCCTGCTGACTTCTTTTCTGGTAATCTGGGGGATCCACAGGCCCCAAGCAATGCGTTGAACACATCTTTCTCGAGCCACACAGGGCATTGACACATCTTCCGTACCTCCCTGAACACGTTGCGAAGATGGTCACTCCCTTTGTGCTCGAAGCTCTTAATGTGTGTGCTAGAATAATTGTGTTTACAAAATGAATTTAAATATGTTGTTTGATAAAACTATATGTAGCTTATATTTAATGCGTTGGATATATATCCCAAACTCTATCGGGATCTTCTTTCAGGATAGGTATGGAGCGTTGTACTTTATCTGTATGATATCTCTAATAGCATGAATAGCTTGTGTAGAGGAATGAAATATGAAAATAAGATATAATTATTTGTATATTAAATTAAAAAAATATAAAACACTATTATCATTATCTAAAAAAAATTACATCTGCCCCATAAACTCAAGCTTAAAAGTGATATTCGTGCTGTCTGGCGTATCTCAATCGAAAGTAACAATATGAACCTCCACCTAAGTAGACGGAGTTGGAGTCGTAGGTGGTGGTGGTGCTAGTATGATGGGAGGATAGGGGCTGTAAGTCCGGGTGTGTGGTGGTGTTAGCGTAAGGGTGGAGGCCTGCGGGAACGTCTCAACAACAATATTGGTTGTGGTGGAGAGAGACAAAGAATTATTTGTACGCACAGTATTGTGGCTTTGTCGTCCTCCTTTAGTACTAACACCAAACATGTCCTCTCATGTGGAGGGAGATCATCCCTACCTTCAAAAGCCATCTGTAACATGAAAAGAGAAAGTAATTAATACAAAACTTTAAATAAAAGTATGATCATAATATTATGTGCATTCTACCATTTATTGGTACTAATAACAAAAATCTAAATAATAAACAAAAGACGAAACTTTATAGTGTGATCTACAAATTGCTACAACTGAAAGTATAAGTAAAAAATTAGATGAAAGTACAAAGAAAATATAAAACGTAATATACAAACTAGAAACTGAAAATAAAAATCTTCACAGTAAAGAAAAGATGAAATTATAAAGTGCAATCTACAAACTACTACAATTGAAAATATAAGTAAAAATATTAGAAGAAAATACAAACTGAATGTAAAGTGCAATCTATAAGCTAATGGAATTGAAAAAAAAATACACATTAAATAAAAAATAAAACTATAAATTGCAATCTACAAACTACCACAACTGAAAATATAAGTAAAAATATTATAGAAAGTATGGAAAAAATGTAAAGTGCAATCTATCAAATTTTTATTGTGTTAGAAGAATTTCAATAACTTACACATTTTAATCAGCTTTATCTGATGAGTGACTAAATAATGTACTAAAATTATTTCATCTAAAGGATCGTCGAAGTCATGCTCTTCGAGATTAATTTTTTCTTGTTCGGCATTAACATCTTTTAAGTTTATCTCTTCATTGGTAGAATCAAGTGAAATGCATAAATCTGTCATTTCTATTTTTTGATGAGCAGGTTGAATAACATTTTAAATTTCTTATTTTTGGTTTACTTGTTATGACTACTCCCTAGTCAACTTTATCTCTTATTTTATCGAGATATTGAAGAAAATATACTTTATTCACATGTCTTGATAAAATGAAATGATTAAATTTAACATATTTTTTTTTCACTTTAATTTCTACGATATTATACGGTTTGTTTGCCATTATTCCATAATTAGGAATATGATCAAACCAGTCATAGTTAAATATGAATAAACTTCTTTCAGTGGAGTCAAGATATTCTAATTGAACAACTTCTTTGACCATCTTGTAATAATCCATTTTCTCATGTCATTTATTGTTTGCTTTAACACATACACCAGAATTACTTATTTTTTTTCTTTTGGTCAGGATCTTGTATTAAACCTTTAGCCGTTCAGATCATAAATTTGTTAAATATTCATGATGCACATGAGTTCTAAAACAAGATTTATTAAGTTTGATATATTACTCTATTGTTTCAATCATGAATCTATGAATTAATAAAAAAATATTTTTTATTGTTTCATTCAAAACATCTAAAATTGACTTGTCAGTTGAGTATAACTTGTGTACATTGTAAATTGTTGTGGAAAATCATTCTCTATCTCCTAACTTGTATCTTTTTTCATGAGAATTTAACGAATCTATAAATAAAGTGTTCATACATTAAAAATTTCATGAATTAAGTGACATTTATATTTTACTGAAAATTGGTGAACGGTTCTAATAAAAAATATTTTACTCAATATAAGGTTGAATTTTATCGCGATTGAGAAGAACAGAAAGAGTCGCTGTTCAAAGTTTCAGATCATTAAGATAATGTGATGTGCACTTCTCTGATATTTTTGAACTGACTTTTTGGTGGGTTTTTATTGCCCAAAATAGTAGGAGCAGAAAATTGTAATATTCTACAATAGATATGTCTCGCATGTTAAACCTTCTGGTCTAATTTTATGCTTCACAGTTATCTTTAATTTAATAAAATATATATAATTAATATG